GACAGGCGGCGGCCCGGCCCCTGGCGGGCCCTGGGCGGGGAGAGCTTGCCCGGACCACGGACTCCCGAGACGGCTACACCGCCCAGCCCGGCCCCCGTGCGCGAACCGGAGGAGCCGAGCCGGTGGGTACGTGGGGCGTGTGGCGGGAGGCGGCCGCGTGGCTCCGGGAGGCCTCTGCCGGCTAGCGGGTTGGGGGAAAGGGCGGGCGGCGGGGCGCCGAGCCGTACGCGGAGCTTCGGTGAGGGCGGCGGGAGGGTCTCGCTGAGGGTGTTGATACTCGGGGATCGGCCTGGCCGGTGCGGGGTCCTAAGATCGGGAAGCACCGGGACTCAGTGTGGGGCTGGGGTGGGAGAGCGCTCACTGTTCTAGCGGGTCGGAACGAGAGGGCGGGGAAGAGCCGCTTGGGACGCGGGACCCGGGCACTCGGGGCGCCCTTCAGGCTCCTCCCGAAACCCGCTCTGCGTTTAGGTTCCGGAGAAACTGTCGAGTCCCGCCCCTTCCCGTCGCCCGCCCCTGGGGCCCCGCCGCCCAGTGGCCCCTCGGTGCCTCCGCGCGCGCGAGTGCGGCGGGTGGGGGCTCTGCAGTGAAAGAATGAATGGCGCGCCCACGACTGTATTCAACTCCGACACGCCCCAGCGGTGCTCGGGCTCCGGGATTCGTTCATTCATTCACGCGAGTGGGTCATTGATCCAGGGTGGGTGCCTAGCTGAGTGCTTTACCCGGGACCCGAGCAGTCTTCTGGGAGAAACTGACACAGACCATTAGTGCTTGATAAGGAAAAGGCTGTGTTGGGGGAAGTCGGGAAGGGATTCTGGGGGGGGATACCTGAGTGGTGTTCAAGGTGACTAGAAAGAGTCCCTGAAGTGGGGAGGCCATGTGTGCTCACCAAGGAAGCCCTTGGTGCAGTGTGGCTGGTGTGGGGTGCAGGCTGCTCCTGCTGGCTGTGTGTAGTAGTAGGGAGGTGCAATGAGCAAAGGAACTGAGGAGTCCATATGCAGAGGCTTGACAGAAACAATGGATGGGGCTGGGAAGGTGGCTCAGTGGTAGAGTGCTTGCCTTGCATGTATGAGGCCCTGGGTTCGATTCCTCAGCACCACATAAGCAGAAAAAGCTGAAGTGGCGCTGTGGCTCAAGTGGTAGAGTGCTAACCTTGAGCTGAAGAGCTGAGGGACAGCACCCCAGGCCCGGAGTTCAGGCCCCATGACCAATAAAAAAAAAAAAAAAAAAGCAATGGATGTGAAACGTCCATTGGGATGTGGTGCTCTATAAACCTTCATTCACTCCCTTGACCTGAGATGTCAGATTTGCATTTGTAAATATCACTGGTTACTATGGGAACATGGACTGGTTGGAGGAAGGCAGGGAGACTACAGCAGGAATGCGGGAGTGGAAGGATGACAGGACTTTTAACCAGCTGATGCTTCTACCCTCCAAGTGAAAGACATTGAGTTAAGACACTAGGTAAGGGGCAAGGTACTGTTTACTTTTACTAGACCCCTAGCAGAGGTCTTGGGGAAGCCAAGCACCCATAGTTCTTGTTTAGGTCCTGTGAGGGAGCAATCAGTCCCTATTACCCCACTTTCTCTGCATTCACCTTCACATCAGGCTTTCCTGAAGCCTGGAGCAGCCCTTGATGGGGTAGCTTGAGCTCAGACCTAAGGTTTTATTGGGGTTTGTTTTTTTGTTTGTTTGTTGTTGTTGTTGTTTGGTTAGTCATGGGTCTTGAACTCTGGACCTGCTGCTGTCCCTGAGCTCTTCAGCTCAAGGTGAGCGCTCTCCCACTTGAGCCACAGCACCACTTCGGGTTTTCTAGTGGTTAATTGGATATGAGTCTCATGGACATTCCTGCCCTGGCTGTCTTTTGAACCCTGATCCTCAGATCTCAGGCTCCTGAGTAGCTAGGATTACAGGCATGAGCCACCAGCACACGGCTAAGGTTTTTGGTGTGTGTGTGTGTGTGTGTGTGTGTGTGTGTGATGGGGCTTGAACTCTGGGCCTGGGCACTGTCCCTCAGCTCAAGGCGAGTGCTCTACCACTTGAGCCAGAGTGCCAATTCCAGTTTTCTGGTGGCTTATTGGAGATAAAAGCCTCATGGACATTCCTGCCCAGGCTGGCTTTGAACCGTGATCCTCAGATCTCAGCCTCCTAAGTAGCTAGGATTACAGGTGTGAGCCACCAGCACCCAGCAAACCTAAGGTTTTGTTTATTGTGCTAGTACCAGAGCTTAAACTCAGGGACTTGAGTTCTTGGTATGGTTTCTTGTTCAGGGCTGGTGGTCTACCACTTGAGCCCTGCCTCCAGTCCAGCTTTTTTGCTGATTAATTAGAGATAAATCCTTCAGACTTTCCTACCCAAGCTGGCTTCAAACCTCTATCATCAATCTTACCCCACTAGGATTACAGTCATGAGCCACCAGCACCCAGCTTCCTATCTTAGATTTATTTGACAAATCTATATTCAGCTAAGCATGATGCTGCACACCTATGATTTCAGCACTCCAGAGGTAGGGGCCAGCCTGCACTACATAATGAAACCCTGCCTCAAAAAATACATACAGGGCTGGGAAGTTGGCTCAGTGGTAGAGCGCTTGTCTTGCATGCCTGAGGCCCTGGGTTCGATTCCTTAGCACCACATAAGCAAAAAGAAAAAAGCCGGAAGTGGTGCTGTGGCTCAAGTGGTAGAGCGCTAGCCTTGAGCTGAAGAGCTGAGGGACAGTGCCCAGGCCCAGAATTCAGGCCCCACGACCGGACCCCAAAAAAAAACATACATACATACATACATACACACACATACACACATACATACGTACAATACCTGCTTCATGCCCGCCACTGAGTTGCCAGTGTGGCAGGCTTGTCCTTCCCCTGCCCCAAGAGGTCTCAGTGAGTATCAGTTTGGGGTTACTTAGAGCAGCCCCTTCAAACCTGTTATGGCCTTGAACTGGGACAACATTTGAGGCTGCCCCCTCTCCTCCACACCCCCACCCCAGCCCATAAGTCAGCTGGGGCAGGCAATACCTGATCCATACTAGGTAGGCACAAATTGACCCCAGGTTTTCTGCAGTACCCATTCTTTGTGGTTCTAGTGAACCCTTCTCCAGGTGGAGGACCCCGAGGTCCTTGGAGAAGTAAGTCTTGGGTCACTTTAAAGACTGCAGTTTCGCCGGGCGCTGGTGGCTCACGCCTGTAATCCTAGCTACTCAGGAGGCTGAGATCTGAGGATCGCGGTTCAAAGCCAGCCCGGGCAGGAGAG